ATTGCCTGTACTTTTTAGCTTATGTAATTCTGTTTATGAAGTCCAAGTGAGAGCCTCTACATAGGAGCCCTTTTTCTGCCACCCTTCTCTATTCTGCTCTGGCCTCCACTTCCACTCAAACTGGGCATTCACAGCACCTAATCCCTGCTGCAACTCCAAAGATTTGAAGTTGGTTGCTCAGCTTCTGCATTTTTCTCTCTTGCCCTTGTGCAGGTCTCTTGCTCACATGAGCCTACACCAAATGATTTCAGAGAGCAAAGTTAACAAAAACCAGTTTGCCAGGGGGGGAAGTTGTTGGATTTAAAGAGCAAAGATGTTTATATAATACTGCAAGGAGGAGATAATGTTTGAGATAAAAAATAAAACACTTAGATGGATGACACATTTTCTGTATGCTGAAGATTGTACATAACCTAGTTGTGCACTACTATGACATACACAATAAAGAAGTTGAATCTCCTCAAAGCAGAGCTCAAAGATCTGAGGATCTCCAAGGACACAGATTCCACAACCTTTCTTAGTAAATGATTTCAGTTTTTAAACACCCTTATTGTGACTTTCCCCCCGCCCTTATATTCAGTTGGAATTTTCTTCCCTGCAAACAGATGAGAGCTCTGATTCTGCTTCAGCTTTGTTCACAGGAATTTGCTTGTAATACTAGCACTAACCACAGGAATAGCAGTAATTCACTTAACTGTTTTTTGACTGTTTGACTCTCTGTTTCCAAACCCTTATTTAGAGTTAGGCATCTCCCTTCACAGGATAATGAGCTGTGAATGGGAGTAGGTTCTTTGTTGCTAAATTTACTGATGACATCAGTTGTGAATGGTATGTATGTGTGTAGCAATGATTTACTGGCTTTCCGCATGACAGAGCGGTAATTCATAATGTTCCTGGCAGTGAGGCTTTCTGACTGCTCTGTGTTAACCCACAGATTCTTGCTCATTTTCTGTTTCCAGGGAAGGGGAAGACCAGAGTGATTCTGAAGACTTGTAGCTGGCCATACAAACACCCTGCATTCTCTCCTTGCATCTATGTGTGTATTCCTTTATTGTACCTAATCCAGCTTTCAATTAAAAGTAACAAACAAACTGATAGTCATAGGAGTTTAGGAACGAGCAGAAGAAATTTGCACCAAAATCTCTTTACCTTGTGACTTCATTTCTCAGAAGAACAATACAAATTCTATTAACTTGCTTTGCTTCATGGTTGGGTGGAACACATTAAAAATGAGATTGCATGACTTTCAGGCAAGGGATCAGGCACCCTATTGGAAAACAATACCAGTTTGCACATACCAGGGTACTTTGGCTGAGAAGAATAATATCATCTGTATTTTTCCTGACTTTCCTTTTAAATAAAATAACAGCATGAGTTGATAGGGGATGAGACCTCTTTGGGAGATCTGCTTGTATAGGAGTATGAAATCAAAATTGTGATGAATTTCGTAAAACCAAATATTGTTTGCATTGGGAAGAGATTAGCTGTTGGTAAATATTTAGTGGAGGATTGTCCTGTACCTGAGGCAAGAGTCAGTTCCAGTTTTATCAACAATCATAAATTGCTTTGTACTGCATGTTCTCAGAGCCTAACTTTAGTTTTTAAATGGTTGGATAGTAGGAGAGGAAAATACGCAGTATCAGAGAGAATCCAGATACCACAAGATAGCTATTTACCATTGCATGGCTTCACCTTAATAGCCTCTTCCATTGCATGTTTCAAGACATGATGGTGCTAGAATTTCACTCAGCTAATTGCAAACGGGGGTACAAATCCAGTTTGAATGACACTTTGTAACCTGTGCAGGGTCTGGCTTAGTATTTAAGAAACCGGTATGCAAAGTATAGGTGCTGTAGATGTAAAATGAGGTATAATTCATTGTATTTTACAAAACCTTTTTGGTCACCTTGACCTAACATCATTTTATTATGATCAAGAAACAATCTCTGCTCAGGACCAATTTTGTTTTTTTCAGTTCAGTTTGATCTGAATTCCTGTTTGGTTGTAAATACTAACAGTTACATAGCAGGAACATAACCTTCCTTCTGGAGTTTTCACCATGAGTAACTGTGATAACAATACTGTGTCTATTTAGAAATGAACTTTGTCTTGCATAAATTACTTCCTTTCCTTTCCTAATACCAGGTTAAATTCTTTCACCTAAGTTCAGGTTCATTGTTTTCAATTGCTGGAACAATTATTTTTCCAATACACATCTTTATCTAACACTGCTCTTAGGTAAATGGTGGTTTATTCTGTTATCATTACCACTTCATCACTAAAGTAGCCATGACTGATAGTATGGTTTTCCTCCTCTCAGCTGTGAAGAGACATCTTCATTACATCAGTATGAACTCCTGCAAGATGTTCAGGTGCTTACAGCAAGCTTTGGATTGAACTTTTTGAGTTGATGCTTTGTAAAAGATGAGGGATTTTGTCACCACAGCCTTAGAAAACATATCATCAGAATGTTATAAACAAAGTTATTTTTATAGATGTAGACATGAATCAGCCTGCCCTTCATAATAGCACTTGTTTGGCACCTTAGAATGGACACTAGTAATAGTTTAGAGTCTTTATTTCATTGCTTGTAGTACTAAACTCGCTTCCATCAGCACTACAACAAATGAAGCATTATCTTAAAATGAACTTCAGAGTTAAGCATTCTGTAATGACTGACCAGACGTCTGTGTGTCTCCACACTGAGTGATACATGTCATCCTTAGGAACACTTGAAACACAGTAAATGCCTTCACAAGGAACTTCAGAGGACATCTGCTCTGGACATGATGAGATGGTAGTAGCACTAGATATTAACAAGTCTGCTTTTGTTGTGACCTAACTGATGCAAATAAACCTGTGTTTCTTGCAAAAGACACCTTTGTTTAGAGTTATAAATGAAGCCAATTGATTTTTGTGGGGGCTTTGGGGTTGGTTTTTTCTTGTCTGGCCATCTAGAGAGCAGCTGTTTGTGCCAGCATGAATCTGAACTTCTTTGTACCAGCACAGTTGGGCTTCAATTATGGCAGAGTCATAAGCTCAAAATACAGACATCAAGAAATGAGCTGTTTTCTTTGATAAACTTCACTTCTATCAGATATTGGCTGGGAGTTACAAACTGGACGTAGTTTGTAATTACAAGATGTCTTGGTGTGTTTTAGATTACCAGAGTGATCTTGTTCCATAGAAATCCTTGTTTGAAAGGAAGAAATAAACTATAAAGAACTATTTGCAGTAATGAGAATTGAAACAAATGCTCGTTTTACCCTGTCCTAGATTGGGGTGTACTTAGTTCTTTAGTTGTTTAATTCTTTATACTAACTGGATGGAAAAATGCAGGTAACTGTCAGTGTCGGAGAACCAGTATAAATGTTCAGTGTGTGAGCTATTATCTAAATCTATCCCGGATTGCTGATATAATCGTTGATGAATGTTTGTTAAAGAGTAATGAATAGAGACAAGGTAATTGAAATTTGTAATCTCCCTATTCCATGTTTCCCCTATCTCTGTCATTTTTCTCATGTTTTAATTCCAGAGGCACTTTAATTATGCAAGCAAGTATCTGAGCTGCTTATTAGTGCCTTTTTTTTAATTAAAATCTTTCTTTGGGTGATGTAAAAAAGCTTTAAAGAAATTCTGTGTTCTTGATCTTTTGTGTAATTGTTTCATCATAGCAGTCCTGGGGTTGAACAGTCCAATCCTATTTTTGACTTAAATCTATCATTTAGCTGAAAATGTAAATGCAATGAAGCAAATTGCTGAGATGCTGTTCTGGACAGGCAATGCAATGCATTGCAATGTTTTTTGTCCTGTTTCCTGTGGAAGCAATGATTTCTGATGAGTTCATGTCAGGGAATAAGTTACTTTTCAAATAACTGCAAATTACTAGTGATATTTTATGTTCTGATTCATAGTATTTAGGCAAATATTGAGTTGTACCGGTATTCAGAAGATTCGTATTCTGAAGTGAAGGGGTATTCCTGGCTGCCCATAATGCCTACATAGAGTTAATTTGTCTTTGAGATTGCTTTGGTATTGTCTGTGGTTTGCTTTCATGACTCACCTCTCCTGTTTCATGAGGGTTAGTACGCATTAAATTTCACAGCGAAAGCTTTTTCATTACATATATTCACAATTCATATTTTAAGTGAAACGTGAATTTACTTCATTGCAGTCAGCTTGTATTTTTTCTATGTCCCAGCTTGTACATTTGGTACACAAACACTGACAATGAAAGCAGAGGTTTTCAGTGCTTATAGAAGGTAATGAGTTGAATTATAAATTTTTACCTGAAGCTTCTTCTGTCAGCTACGCTACAAACAGTGCGTTTTCAGGGTTAGAAGGATGTGACTTGGTATGCAGTATTGACAACTAGGTGTAAGATTATGATGCCTAACTTCACAGTATCTTGCACAGCTGACAGAAGTGACTGACATCTATGTGCAGGCATCAAAGTTAGCCCAGCTAAGGCCTAGTAATGTGATCTCTTTCTGCAATCACAGTTAACTACAATAAACTACTAACAGTTAGCCCAAATGAGAAGCCTAAAGTCACCACCTTATCTTTATTATAAACAGTATTTCACTGTCCAAGGTAGGTTTAAAATGGAGACTGAAGTTTCACTTAATGAGATTTTCTTAGCATCTTTGGGGAGGAAAAAATAAAGTTTTCCTTTTACTAGTCCATAATTCCCATTGTAACATCTCTGATTGCTTTTTTTTTTTTTTTAATGTGAAGGTTTGTTTCCAGCAACTGCATATCTCAAATGATATTCTTTTTCCTGGTTTTATGTATTTAACACAACAAAAGAAAACTATCACATATCTTGAACGAACAGTGGCTTGTTGCATAAGTCAGAGAGAATTCAATTTAGGATCCTGCTTGTTACCATCAACACAATAGTGTATTGTCTCTTCAAAGAAACACAACAGATAAAACATATCACAAGTAATTTAGATTATTTTTTTCTGTCCTTAACAGCTTCTTATTTCTTATTACAGCTTTATGCAGGAGCTGTCCTAGAGGTATGTGGATGAAAACTGGGAAGGTTCCCCCAAGTCCAGGGTAAGTAAAGCCACTAATGTTCTTTCAAATGTGAAATACTGTCACAGCTGAATGACAAAATGTGCTTTTAAGTACTACTACAAGTAGTCATAAATTTCATATATCAGGAAAGTTGCATTGACCTGAGACTCATGGAACTGGTCTCAAGTAATTGATAGATGAAATCATATTGTGCAGTATGGAATTACCTTCTTTTCACAGCTCCTGCAGTATAATTGTTTTGTCAGTGGATAATGACAGTCAATTGAAGTGAATGGAAGACAGTAGTGAAAGGAAAATCAGAACCATCAGTGTGTGGTGGGAGGAAGCTGCAGGGGAAAAAAACATCTGTGAGAAGTTTAAAATGCAGTTTTCTTACAAATGGAGGGAAGAGCTTAGATGATAGCAGTACTTTGGCTTCTTTAATGAAGATCCTAATGCTGTACTTTGGCCATCCATAGAGAAGAAAGACTAACCTAGCTTTAGACATAAAATTGCACAAACAGCATTATCTCCATCTACCACAGCCAGTATTAATACCTCCCTGCTTGAAGGCCAACTGACAAACAAGTAAAAGAAGGACTTTAAGGCAGATTACAACTCAGGGAAGTTCACAGATCATAGAATGGTTTGGGTTGGAAAGGACCTTAAGATCATCTAGTTCCAGCCCCCCTCCCACTAGGCCCTCTCCTGCCACCTCTACCCACACACAGTTTAGTTATTTGACTGCAAGGCCAGGGCAAAGCTTTTTTCTCTTTCCCAGTTCAAGGGCATGAGGAGATTAACTTTGCTAGCACAGGAGTCCACATGATAATCAGTAATGCCTCAATAACACTATTGTTTTATTTGAGTTCATTTTGGGTGCAAAATGGTCTACTTTGTCGTATGGTCAATCCTTTGTGGTTTTTTATGTAGAAATTGTGACATTATGCACAAATTTATTTTTCATGTTTTTTTTTTTTTTTTTTTTTACTTTCCAGCTGTTTGTGTCTAATAGTTCAGGGCCAAATTAAACAAAGTACTCTTTTATTTGCTTTCTGTTCATTGAAAATAACTCAGAACAATTATGTATAGATAATCTTAGATGTACTTTACTCTTCCTTTTCTGTATTGCTGTTAGATCACTGCAGTTACTTTATATACATGTAGTCTTTCTTATTTGTGAGTTCTAAAAATCAGTTGTTTATGCTGCATTGAGTTGCACAAAGTACCGTGCTATTATTTGATCAGATGTCTTTTGAAAGCTCGTAATAACTCACATGCTTTCTGTTGTTAATTCCATGTGTGAAACACTTCAGGGCATCACAAAAAGACTCTCAGCATAGATCTCTCAATATAGATCATCCTTTATACCAGTTTTGAACCATTCCTCCTGACTTACTCATTTCTACTGTTGCTCTTGAAACACTAACAATTCTTTGCCCTGATCACATAATGGGCAATTTTAGTGTAATGCTGAGGGACAGTCACCTTCATCAGACAAGTGCCGTGCTGCTTTCCAGTGCATAATCAGCATTTTGAATGTGACTCACCTGTAATATGAAGCTGTGTATCTGTTCACAGCATCAAGAGGTTAGAAGAAGGTAAAGGGTTCCGTTTACTCAAAAAAATAGCATAAACTGGAGAAGGGTATGTCCAGTGTAAAAAGGATGAATCCCCATGGGCAGTTCTGGTGTCCTCAACATAAAAAGGACATGGATCTGTTGGAACAAGTCCAGAGGAGGGCCATGAGGATGATCAGGGGACCGGAGCACCTCCCATATGAAGACAGGCTGAGAAAGTTGGGGCTGTTCAGCCTGGAGAAGAGAAGGCTGTGTGGAGACCTCATAGCAGCCTTCCAGTATCTGAAGGGGGCCTATAGGGATGCTGGAGATAGACTCTTCATTAGGGACTGTAGTGATAGGACAAGGGGTAATGGGTTAAAACTTAAACAGGGGAAGTTTAGATTGGATATAAGGAGGAAATTCTTTCCTGTTAAGGTGGTGAGGCACTGGAATGGGTTGCCCAGGGAGGTTGTGAATGCTCCATCCCTGGCAGTGTTCAAGGCCAGGTTGGACGAGGCCTTGGGTGATATGGTTTAGTGTGAGGTGTCCCTGCCCATGGCAGGGGGGTTGGAGCTAGATGATCTTAAGGTCCTTTCCAACCCTAACTATTCTGTGATTCTGTGATACACAGACCTTGTAAGTGTTACAGCAATGGAATAAATCTGAACTAAAAGCACAGGTTTTTAAACACCAGAAAGATCAGAAGTTTGATTAAGTGGACTTTTCCATTACTGGCAGATGCTTAATCACATTAGATTCTTATTTGAAGACATGCTGTAGCTTACCAGGAGGAAAAATTGTGCAGTAAAGATTTATTGTGGACCTTGTGCTGAAGATATGACCAGTTCAGACTTGTTTTTCTGCCATTAAAATCTGAAACTAATAAAATAGAGACAGGGTTTTGTTAATCTCCTCCAGGCCTTTCTGATTTGAGGCCATTATAATCCTTCTGATGCATGTAGAGACAGACAAGCTTAAGAACACTTACCTGTGTGCATAGTTGTTGAAAAACTAATGTGAGATTTTACTGCCATTGTATATTGGCTCTCAAGTATTAAGAGATTAATTTTTTTCTCAACGTAGCTTTGTATATTTTTAGTTACAGATTAAGCAGGAGATCTTTGCTTCTGAAACAGGAATCTAAACAATGTGAATATTCCTGAATGTAGGTATCCCTGGAAGGCTGGATCATGCTCTTAATCTATAACAGTAGGTAGTCACCTCTGTTTACAAGGAAGTTAGGCCTAGCTTATAGATCTGCAGCTGTGCATGGAGAGATGTGGTATCATGTCCATTTGGAGTCAGGAAGTTTTCTTCCTGGTGCATCCTACTGTGCCTCAGAACAGTGCAATGTGTGCACGTGCACAGGCTTGCCCTGTGTTTGGGCCCAAGTGATGCTTACATTCCTTAGTCATCTGCACTAAGGACTCCAGGCTTTAATTACAACAAACCTGTTTTCACAGACTTTTCCAAAACAGAGATGTCATATATATCAAATCAAAGGGACATTATAAGAATAGCAATGAGTTTCTCCGTTCTGCTCTGTTAAAGGGCAGAGGATGCTCTTGGGTCTTCAAAAGCACTGTTTGGTACTACCTTTCTTTGCAAAACAGTTTTGGTGCTGGTCAGGCTTTAAAATGCCCGTGTACACCTCATCCTTTTCTCTGACCTTTTAGTTGCAGTTGATTGCATGGCAATCAAGTGTACTCTCTACGCTCACCTCAGGATGGCCTTCAAACAGAAGGCATATGCTTTGGTATTGTACATGCTATGTAAGAGTACAGGGGGAAGTGATTTCTTTAACATTATGTGAAAGGACAGTTGCAGAGCTGGCAGTAGAACAGCTCTGACTTCTAGTCTGGTGTTTAATTCACTGGAACACAGTGGCATGGCACCAAGCTCAGACTTCATCTTACAGAAGTCAAAGTGGAAAATGCCTTCCCTGCTCACCCATGAGCTAGATAAATGCTATGAGTAACCCAGGAGTTAGAGAAATGCTTGTTTCTGTGCTGTGTGTAATTCCTACAGCTTCTACAGGGAGAGGAAAATGAGGAGATAGCTCAGATTTTAGCGTTAAACATCAAACTGTTCACTAAAGGGTACAGAAGGGAAATCGTTGGGGCAGTGCTAAAGCTGAAGCATGTTCACCCCATCCCGTGGTAAGCAACCAGCCTCATATCCCAAAATGCACACTGTAGCTACATCTGACTTCCTAACCCCATCAGTTTCATTCATCTTAGGACGTGATTTTCTGCAAAGAAAACCCATAGTGTTTGATGGGCTAATCTGTACTTTTAAAGCATGTCAGCATGTTAGTTTCTCACTTCAGCTGCCAAAGGTCAGGATATACAAATGAAGTTATTTGCACAGTGAGAGTTTCTCTTTGTTGCATTGCAAATTCAGGTGACTAATACAGAAAGTGGCTATGATCAGCATTAGAAATAAATATGCCATTAACAGAGATGGATTTTATTCCAGCTGTCTAAAACTGCAGGGAAAATGTTGTGTAATGCTTCAGCTTTTGGAAAATTTGGACGTCTGATATTGATAAAAGTATGTAATAGCTACTTTTAAAGTGACAAAATGCAATACTGCTGCCTTCCACCTCATTCTGTCCCCATTTCATGTGAGCTTGTTCAAGTCCAACACTGAAGCCAGAGAACAGCCACGCACGTCCACATGAGCCTTCAGCTGTCACTCAAGTAACAAATCCTCACACCACTTACAAGCTGTAACTCGAGGTAACCCCCAAAGGCTATTCTTTAATACAATTAAATTCCACAGTTCAGATTTGCCTCTGAAACTTTACCCATTTCACTATGCTCTCTTGCCATTTAAGTTCTGCAATTCAAGTTAGCCACTGTACTGACTACTTTTTACAACTTCCTTTTCATACAGAGCCCTAGAGGCTGAGTGCAGCTTTAGATTGAAATTGAAAAGGAAAATGTGGGAAAATTCGCCATGAAACAGTTCAACATTCTGTGGATTTAAAAAAAATAAGGAATATCTGCCATTTTTGTGCACTTTTCCACTGTTGGTGACAGCCAAGACAGCTAACAGGTCACAAGGACATGGGAAACACTGAGAATTATGTCTCTGAATCTGAATCGAACTGCATTATGTGAGCAAGAACTGGTTATTTAGTGCTATTTGAAATTGTTAGCCAAATGCAGCTTACAGGATGACATTAATGTATAGATCTATAGAAGGAATGGAAACACCCTATTTTCTTCAGGGATCAGGTATATCTGGCAGCTCATGGGCCATTGATATTTTTTGACTGGTTTATACTTTCTAGTGGTTGGTGCAGCCAGCAGAGGATATGATTTTGATCTGTCCTGGGACCACAGTGGGAGAGAGGAGAAAATAAATGCCACTTGGTATATACATAATAAGAAAGTGTTAGGTAACTCTACAGTGATATAAAGGTAGGTATAAAGGTGCCAGGGGACAGCCTGATCATTACTGAGGAAAGCACTACACGTTGTGAGACTATGAAACATTAGTCCTGAGTTCCACTCATCTGCATGCACACCAGCTGGATACACTGCAGTTTGTGAGAGTCGTTGTCTAACCTTGAATAAGCAATTTTAATATGCAGGCGGCACCTCTGGAAGAGTCAGTCTATACTAAGGATGCCATATCCCCCATCCATGGGGGTGTGACAGGAACAACCCGAGTCTGCTTAATGTCAGTACAGAAACGAGGAATGAAGGCTGTAATTTTCTACACAAATTATAAATACTTGTGGAATTCAGACATTCATCAGGCTAAAATGTCTGGAAGTAGGGGATTATGCTTACACTTTGTCCTGGAATAATTCATATCATCCAAGTTAACACTAAAACAAGGCCTGGGTTGTGCTGTGAAGGGATTATTCAGCAGCAGCCCACCTCAGACCTTAACTCTCCATGTAGCTACATAACAGAGTCCATCTTAAAGCTGATTGCCTTTAGGAGAAGCAAGAGGAGATAGCAGCTTCTTGTTTTCTTGCTGTTTTCAACATGTAACCTCAGAGATCTCTGCAGGATAAGACTCTCTGGTTCGCAAGAATGACACCTCTACCCCCGGTTCCCTCTGTGCTCCTTTCACCTGCAGTGCTGCAGCTTGTGTGAGTGTGCTGATGGGATGTGTGTCATCTTCAGCCTCCCTCACAAAGCTTCTCTTCAGCCTGATTTTGGTCACTCTAACAAACACTTTTCATCACATTTGCATATCACAGCAGCATACAGGTCAGTCTGCTGCAGTCTGGCAGTGGTACACAGTTACATTAGCAAATACAAAATGCGTTTGGAATATTAGCAAAACCAGGGCATGCCTTCGGTGTGATAGGTTGAATCTTATTTTGTGAGGATTTTAAGAATTTTAACATTAAAGTATCTTCTAAAACATCATTCCAAAAGAAATGATTCAGAGAATATTGCCTTGAATGTAATTCTACTTTATGCAAGTGGAAAAGAGCTTGATCATCTTTCTTTCTTTTCTTCCAACCATAGCTTTTGTCAGGAGTGACAAGCCAAAACTCTTTAGGGGACTGCAAATCAAGGTGAGTAGTAACCCAGCTTTTTCATTTGGGTTGTAAGGAAGAATTAAGTTTGATGGAGACAGTCCTGCTATGGATTGTCCCTTATTTGCTGATCAAGCAGTCCCTCAGCAGAGGACATACATGGGCATTGCCAGTATAAATCTTTACAAGTTCCTGCTGATGATACTAACCAGTTTATTGTTCAGTAACTGCTTGGTACCAGTCTGTGGTGGTGGTGTTTGTTTCGTTTTAATCCAAGGGAAAAAAAAATGGTACCCACTGGCAAAAGAATGTGAGGAGCAGCTGCATTCTGTCCTTACTCTCCAGATATTTTGGATTTATTCAAGCTTATTCTGCCATAGTTTCCTTCCTTCCCATTCTGTTTTCCCCTCATTTTCTGGTGGAGCTGGAGCTGCCATTTCCATACATTGAGTGATTCTTAGATTTCTCTCCTCCCTCTCAGAATTTCCTTGCTGTGTTCTTATGATGATGTTTTGCTTTATAGTCTTCAAACATACAGCTTTATAGAAATTCATATGCTGAATGGTGTTTATTATAACCTGAATATATACAAAGCCGCATAAGATGCACTGCCTTAAACTGAAACAGCCCTTTGGTTTCAAGATCTGGTGTAAAACTTCACCTTCCTCTTAAAATCCTGTGTGAACTTCCTGCATACTTCACACATACACAGCTTGATTCTCACCTCTTGCGCTCCAATCTCCATTCACCAAATGGCACCATCTGGAATCACTTCATAGCTGTGCATGGCTGCAATAAGTGATTTGTCTTCTGAGCAGCAGATTCCATCTCAAACAGATTCCCTCTGTCTCATGTGTTCATGTCTCTGTGTCCTCCAGTTTTTTTCTCTCCTTCTGCATGTCTGACTGTTTCACTTTTATTTTAAGCTTTGTAGCTTAGTATTGAACACCAAAGCAGTCTCGAGTGCAGTTGGTGTAGAGCACTGCCAGAAAAAAAATGAGTGCAAATGGATCTGTGTTTATTGTACAAGACTTTTGGAAAATGGATTAAAGATGCCACCAGCTTGGCCCAGTAAAATCAACTAGGTTCTAGGTTAGCTCAGCAGGGAAAGGTACAATACTCCTGGGGAAAGTTTTCCATAAACTTAAATGGTTAGAGCTTTCTGATCCTGTGAAGTTTTTATTTGCATCACAGAGTTTGTGACTTAGTGAGTCTTCAGAAGCATTAAAGTATTATGTTCCCAGCAAAGCCTTGTAGGCGCAGATACAACGCAGCAGGAAAGAATGGGATTACATTAGAAACTGATAGAAGTAACTTAGAGCTGTGAACATGACCAGAAATTTCTAAAAAGGCCACTGATTATATGAGAAAAGTAATTCAGGTGCTTGATTCAGAAATCCAGCTTCAGTAACTTAAACCAGCTGAAGTAGAAAACCATCTTTCAAAGCTGGGCTTACAGCATTGCCCCCCTAGCTTGTGCAGTGGGCCAAGGACAAGAAGTAGGTGTTACTCAAACAAACATACACACACACACACACCCCCTTGACATCCTCTCACCCCTTCGTTTGACTTACTATTCCACTTTCCTCTCTCTGACATTAAATGCAAGTGAAAAGTCTAAACTGAAGCTGTTTTCTGCCTGTTTTACATAAGGCAAAAAACTCTGTTCTGGATCTCAGACATTTACTGCCTTTTATGTGTTTTAATTGCTTGTGAAGTGAGGCCTCTTTGTCTCTAATGGTTCCTTCTTTTCTCCCACCCTCATTCCTTGGGACTAGGCAAGAAAGCCATAGCTGTAAACACTGGCCAACTGCTACTAGTGGAGTGTAGACTTCAGCATCTTTCCATCTTTAAAGCTTCTGTCTGGTGTCTCCTCTTTTACTGGTTTTTCCTTTGCATATACACATGCACACCAGCTCTAGCTTTGAACATCTACCTTCTCCTTTGAATCTGCACAGTAGGTGAAAAAATACTGGAGGAGAGGAGAAAACAAGCTAAAAGACTCATCTCCTAAGCTTAATTTCTTAATTTGATTCTTACAGATCTGTTTTCCTCCAGAAAAGTAGAATCCATTGTTGTTAAACCCTAGGAAGGAAATGCATAAAATCAGAACAAAAGAGGGGGCACTGGAATACTTGTATTTTTTTGTCAGGAGCAACTAAGCTTGTCTGTTCGGGTTTATTGAAGAAGTCTAAACTTTAAAAAGCCAAAGCTGAGGTTGGTTTCTTAGCACAAAGTGTATTGCCAACGTTTACCCAGAATACTCTGATGTAATTCAGTGCTCTGTTCTAAAGTGTTCATGATGTCACTCTTTCGACTTGTTGCTATTCTTGCTTTGAGCTATTTTTACTTAATCTAAATCAGTCGGGGGGGGGGGAGAATGTTAATTCAGCCCAAGGTAACAGACTCTCGTTTCTTCCCTTGGAGTATGTGCGTGGTTCTGACCCTGTACTGAAGCTGCTCGATGACAGCGGGAACATCGCAGAAGAACTAAGCATCCTCAAGTGGAATACAGATAGCGTGGAAGAATTTCTAAGTGAAAAATTAGAGCGTCTATAAATCACTGCTTTCAGCCCCCTTCCCTTTTCCTGCCTTGTCATGGTAATTGTCTCAGATGAAATGTGCTACCACTGAAAACACATTCCAGCTTTAGATTCACTTTAAAATATCTGTTGAGCTGTGCTAAACATCTTGTAATTAAGAGGGGAGGCTTCAGCACCCATCTGACAAGTTGACAAACATAATAGCTTGTCTTCATGTATTTCAGCTCTGAATGCATTTTTATCACGAGCAAAATGCTTTGTTTCAAAGTTAATTATGCAATTATCAGTTTGTTATAATTGGACCTGTTCTTCCAAATGCTTTTTAAAACTGAAGAGCCTCAAATAACTGAAATGATTACCATGTTTTTTGTCTGCTGCTGTTTGTAAGAAAGTCAGAACCAAATGCCATGTACTATCTTCCAAAGAAACTTGACTGCTAATCCCCTCTTCTTCTTTGAACTGTCCTTTCTCTAGAAGCACTGTTTACAGCGAGTATCTAGTTCAGAGAGTTTGTAGCTTATGGAGGAACTCATGCTCTCATACTGTGAAACACTTAGTAAGTACACTTTAGTGAAGACTACATAGAAAACCTCTGAGGTGTATGGAAGTCTGATGTCAGGTGTGCTTTACATGAAGTGTTTTGCTTCAGAAAACATGAGGTGTCTTAAATACCTTTTCTTCTAACTTCTACAAGTTTATTGGAAGTCTGTTTATCAAATGAATTTATAAACTGTCTTTTAAAAATGTGTATTTTTCTTTCTCAGTTGAAATTTAGGTGAACATGGAATATAAACAGTTCTATACAGCAATGAGTCAAATCCATTATGACTTGTCTGGGTTTTATCTACATAGGGTGAATAAATATGATAAGCAAGAATGTGGAGTTTGTTTTGTGAAGTTGAATTACGAGTCTTCCCTTTAACTACTTCATGCATCCCAGTTTTGGGCTGGATGTGTGTTACACTATGACCTGAATTTATGCTCAGTTTTTCTCTTTATGTATAATTTTATACCTCAAAAATGTTTTCTACAATTTACAGATTTTATTCCCAACTTTTGAGAAGAAATCATCAGCTTCACAGCATAACAGTAAAGTTGGGAACGGGACCACACTCAGTTATCAGAAGTGATACACTAAGGTGATTCTTTAGGCATAGCCTTTGGAGCTGTTACTCCTGAAATACTTTTAGAAGGTGCATACAACTCATAGGATGTTGGCCTCCTCATTACTCTGTGCCTTTCACTCCTACTCTTAACACATGCTGCACCTGTCCCTCCTGACTCAGTGTGGGACAGCTACCACAGTGGTCACCACTGTCTGAAGAGACATATGAACAGTACACAAGATGCACAAATCTTCACAGCCTGTGCTAACTTATCAGAGAAACATGGATTTGTTCTTGGGACATGTGATGTATTGGTCAGTAGATGAGCTACAACCAAAACAAGTGACACAAAATACAACCCCGCATTTTGGTTGTAAAAATATGCTGCCATCCACTGGTCTTTTAATATACTGACTCTGTCCCATACTTTTCATTGCTGTGTTTGCCCACAGGGGATTTCAGTTTCTGTGTTGATGATTTATCATGCTGCTTTAGCAGAATATTTTCACCTCATCCTTCTCTCCAGCCTTAGGTCCTCATTACCACCCAATGGAGATTGTTTGCTTCATTTGATATTTACCAAGTGTTTCTGCTTCTCTCAATTTCCTTCCTCCTCATTAACGTGATAGTTAAATGTTCCTAGCACGTGTCTACAGAGCCAAGAACCTCAGTGTTATCTAAGGGATAGAATAAGAAAGAACAATGCAAGGGCACTGTGAATTTGACACTTTAAGAAGAGGCAGTAGGTCAAGCAGAGATAATTTAGCTTTTCATACAGGCTCACAGACCAAGTAGGTTCTGGGCTTAGCAGCTCAGACATAGAGTTGTGGAAGACCAGTCAATTGATGTATTATATAGGGAAATCAGGGATGTACCCTTTAAGATAAGGGAATAACTATTTGTCTTACAAGGCAAGATGAGTATGTGGAATTGGCAGTGAGCTGGGCTTTGTGCTAAAAGAGGTGGTTGGGGAATCATTTCTTTTAGAAATTCCCAAGTCTCTGTTTATCAGTGTGGTTTTTTTCCCCCTCCTGTCTGCAGCTGTGAAAATTCATCCAGCTCAAAAGGTTATTTTGGCTTGTGGAAATTAACTACACAAAATATAAGGTTTAAAGCTCCCATTCCAAAAGGAAGTGATTCATTTTTACTTTATAGCCATGATAAGCACCCAGTACTTGATGAAAGGCATTCATTCAGATTTATGTAAGAATTATTTAGTCTTATATAATGCTCTTGTTGTGCCAAATCTTGTGAGAGTTAATGGAAGGAAGAATAAAAGCAGCAAGCATGCATGGCTGATTTGCAACATCAAGTGTCCATCTCTCCTCCTGTCATTTTAGAAGGTAAAAAAGGCCACTCAGCTGGTAGGGGAGAGGATCAATGCTTTAAAAAAAAAAAAGAACAAAAAATGTTGTACATTCCATTTTGTATGTAGCTATGTAGATGAATTTGAAACACAGTATACAGCCCACTTGGAAAGGTTTCCAGTGTACCTGCTTAGTCACAGATTCCTCCAATGCGAACCAGAGCAGAACTACTGTAGCAGGCAAAAAGTTGTCTCAGAGCTAAGGGAACCTTTCAGGTAGACATTAAAATCATGGAAGGAAAGTAATTATTCAACTCTTTGTTTTATTGTCCATCACATAGAACAAGAACAGCCTGCCACCTTAATGAAGAGTGCGCACACAAAAAGCATGGGTTCAGAAACCTGGGCTCCTACTGAGAAATGTAACTTCTCTTTGACCCTGAGTTTTCAGCCAGGGAGATGAGACCTTCTGCCTCCGCCCCAAAAGAAATGAAATTAAACCCACTGGCCTAGCATGAAAGCTGGATTCTTAGAGCTGCATTAGACCTTCTCTTACATCCCACCCAGGCAAATGGGCTCAAATCTGACAGGAGTTTCAAGAGTGCATTGCAAGGAACAGAATTCCCTGGTTCTTGCAGCATGTAAGGAATGTTAGAAAAAGCACAAAACTGTCTTTGCAAAGGGTGCTTTGGCCACACTAAGTAAATGGACGTAGAAATTTGTGAAGTGTGACAAAGAAGGGTCCATCAAACTAAAAAACATAGTATTATATATCTGAAGCAGCTGAAGGAAATACAGTCTTCTGGATTTGTGTGGGCTTCCTTAAGTTGGTCATTGTTAAGGCCCAATGCAATTAGTCTGAAATAAATCTGCTGTCATGTCTAAGTAGAGCCCAAGAGGCAAGATAGCAAAGGAGACAACAGACAGCCCCCTGCTACCTTGTGTTACTGGAGCCTGGGGCTCAGAACAGCAGCTTCCCTCCCAGCTACACCCCTAAAGAAAGTCTGAGCAGAGGGGAGATGGAGAATGTTTTCAGTTAATTCTTTTTCCTCATCACTTGTCACAAAGGATGGAGAAGAGGAAACGCATCCTGGAACTGCCTACCTCGTGAGTTCAGACAGGAGACAAACCACAGCAGCAGAGTATTCCTGCTTTTAATGATTTAAGTAGGAACCATGGCACCAGGTGAACACACTGTCCCAGAGTGCCTTACTGTTGCTGAAAGCACACTCTCGTTGTGAACCAAAACCTAATGCAATCTGTCCCTTCCCATCTCCCCAGTCTAAGTCTCTCTTCCTCCCAGCACAGCACCTGATCCCTGCTGATACACATGTAAGGATGGACATAATTGTCACCATTGTTCACAGTCCTACTCTGTGGTTTTACAAAGTGTATTTAGCATATTTGTCACACTGATATTTGCTGCAGAATTGACAGGATGACAAACAACTGCAGTAATCACCACCTAGATGGAAACAGCATTTGGCAGCATTGCCACAGTGGGCTACGATAACACGCTCGCATCCACTTTTTGTCCCAAATGATTATCGCTTCAAAACATTTAATTCCATCCAGAAAAGACCTTACAAATACATATAATCAATGTACAAACCATCCCACTCAAACAGGCACATTTACAAGGTTTGCTGGACTCGAACTCCTAAGTATGCTATACCTTGCAAGTACACAGAACACACACATCACCATTTCTTGAAACCAGAGCAAATAAAGGTTGGATTCAAAACACTCTGCATTAGCTGAGAGCAGTTCAGTGGAGCACAGAAACTAATGCCACTGGCTCTGGTCCTCTACAGTCAGAGAAGCAGTGGCTTAAAGAGGCTGCTGGGACAGAAAGCATCTGGAAATGTCCAGTCTAGGAAGAGCTACCATCCCTGCAAGCTTCACATACACAGTGATCCAAGTCTCAAGGAGAATTAAACTACTCCAGTATTCATCTGGAACCAAAAATGTAAATAGCTCTCCAGTCAAACTCTATAGTGCTTTAGAGACATTAAGTTACCAATCTACTTCATCACACCCATCTCTGAACTGCCATTCACCCAGACTCCCCTCATCTCTAATCTTAACCAGTTTCCTTATTTATTCCATCAGCCATTCCATTGCTAATTTAGCTGAACACTATTTAGCTTTAGGCATAGCTTTAAATTAAAAATCTTACAACAAATTCTGCAGATCACAGTTTAACACAATTATCAAAAAGCTTTAAGTTCCTCCCTTGTTATTACAGATTTCTCCAAACTTCTCAGCTTATACACCAAATACATGTATTAGATAATGACCCCAGCTGGGATTGCAACTGGAACCACAGGGTTTTCCACTGCACACTGAACCCCAGGTTTGGGTTTTCTAATCATTCATTTCTCTTCATCCATAGCTTTACCCATCTCTTACCTTCTTGCCCACCAATGGCAGGGTTTGAGCCTGTCTGTGAAGCTGGAGGGAGGGATAATCTGCATTTCCAAGAAGCCATCTCCTATGGCACAAATGCTGCAGAGGAACTTCAGACTCCAGTGGTACAGCAACAGAGCAGGTCTGCGGGAGGCAGGACTCACCTTTTGATTCACAGCTAGTGAAACCAGCTATGTGAGCCCAGTCAGGTGCAGCTTGGCAATGCTTTAGGGTACTCACGGTAACTTGTAGATCTTCACCTGATGCACTAGAGCATTATTTATGCTTTTAAACAACAAGCTGTTCAAGAGCCGAAGCCACAGAACAAAATGAAAGTTTGGGAAAATCAGAAAGTAATGTCAGGGTCTCCTTTCAGGACAGGTGACCAGGAATTCCATCTGAAGTGGTTTTCCCTATTGCTTTAACACAAAATCTGAGCTTAGCCCTGGAGAGATCATCTCTGAGCCAGCCTTTACAGGAGGATACAACTATGCCAGAAGCCCTGAGGAAGTAGTAGGCTCAATCACCACATACCACTAATAAAACATGGATTAATCATTCCTTATTCCTATGCTGCAAGTTTCTCCCAGGTAAGCAGAGACAATGACACTCACCTTTGTAAAGAAGTTTGTGATCAGCAATATAGATGCATTACACTGAAAATGGTGAATAGTTTCTCTGCAAGGGGAACAGGATTAGAAACGTAGAAACTCTCGTAGATGCTTCATATTCTCAATGGAGAAACACCAATGCTATTTCCACTGGATGGCATGTAAACGTTGTGAAAAACACAAAATTAAGCCTCAGTGCAATGGCCTTTCCCTTTTCCAAAGACACATAGAACGTAACTCCCCAAAATCTTCAAAAATTGGATTTCAGCACTTCAAATACTTATACCAAAAAAACCCCTCTGTGTAAGACTCCTGCTGTGTATCAACATCACTGTTGAGTATCTAGAACTAAAAGCAATTTAACTCAGAGAAGTAAAACTGGAAGATTATTTCTGGTTTCAAATGTTTCTGCTTTTGAAGAATCAATTTCCTCACTCATTATTCC